GTGTGTGTGTGTGTGTGTGTGTGTGTTGTACTTCAGAATTTAGGGTTAACACTCCTGTCTCTTCCTGGGCTTGAATGTTTAATGTGCTCTGGGTTAGGGGTAATTGGGACAGACCCTTTGAGGTTGCACGTTGACTCTGCTGTTGAAGGCGCTGGGCTTTCAGATTTTCACTAACATATTGTCTGACTTGGGGAAACTGTCAGAGCAGAGTCCCTGCCCAGACCTTCTTGCAGGCCAGCGGCAGGAATCCCTGCTGTAAGCACTCAGCTCCGGGGGGCGATGCAGACACCTTTCTGGGTGTCCCGGGAGGCGGTGTGCGGAGAAGGTCTCTGGCAGCGGTGACGTCGTGGCAGCTGTGAATAATGCATGGCACCACCTGCTCAGGCCCCGGCCCCGCCACCTGCACCGGAGGCCGCACCGTCTGGGACACAATGGCTTTTACGAAGCCAGAAGCCACACAGAGCCGCATACGCGTGGGCGGAAAGTGCGCGTACATGTGTTTGCATGTTAGACGGTCCTGGCACCGTCGGAGGGGAGTTTTGGTCGGCGCAGAATTGGACTCCTACCCAGTTCCCTCAGTCCTCTCCCCGCGGTGTGATGGCTGTAATCTCTTCTGGCCTCTGTGAGTGTGGAGATCAGCAGATAGTAAGAGTAAAAACGACAGCGCAGCCTGGTGCTAACGGGCAGGCCCTCTGTAGCAGGCCTGCCTGGGCTTGGCCACGGTCCCCATGTCCTAGCCGGGCCACCGGTACCTTACTGTGCCTGTTTCCTCACCTGGGGAGTGGGGATAATACGAACCACACCAGAGAGTCATTATGAGACAGAACATTGTAAACAACTTGTTTACTATCAGCTAATGGCAGATTCATCTGAAAATAAAGTTACTGAAAAGTAAGGATTGTGTCTGCAAAAGTCTGAAGTTCTAAAATGCTTTCAAGAGCCCAAGAGGTACAGAACTCATTTAAAAAAATATATATTTTATTGATTTTTTTACAAAGAGGAAGGGAAAGGAATAGAGTGTCAGAAACATTGATCAGCTGCCTCCTGCACACCCCTCCACTAGGGATGTGCCCGCAACCAAGGTACATGCCCTTGAGCGGAATCAAACCTGGGACCTTTCAGTCCGCAGGCCGACGCTCTACCCACTGAGCCAAACCAGTCAGGGCAGAACTCATTCTTCTTTTAGTTACAAAAATGTTTTACAGTTGAACTAAAGAACAACAGAAAGCAAACAGAGCTGGACAACCTTGAAACAGATGTTGTCACCAACAACTCCTTCCTAGCTTGAGGTTCTTGAAAAACCAGTGTCACCTCTCTCCCCGCTGTGCGCTCCCAGCCTGCCTCCCTGTGGAATCCATCGCCAGTGGACACTCCGATCGAAGAAGGAGAGAGCGTCTCGGGCCCTGTGGCTCCAAGCGCCAGCAGCTGGGAAGCCGGGTTCTGCTTTACTCTGAAGTTCGGAGCGTGAACCAGCTTGCTATGGAAGAGGTTATTTCTATCTCCTGTGCATTATTGGGTTGAGGATAACATTTAGAGGGAATTGAGACAGCTTAAGGGAACCTTTACCTACACCCAAAAGTGGCAGACGTCTGCTGAGCGGGGGACAGACCCCGAGGAACGGAAGTGCTGCGTTAGGGGCGGTCTGCAGGGCAGCGCCCCAGGGAGTGGCCTTCTGCGCAGTCTCCTCGGAGGTCAGGGATAATGGCTCTGGAAAGAGAGATGCTGTTAAGGAAATGGAGTTTGCAAATGCTGATCTGTCCAGACCGATCGATCTGTATTAATACCAATCAAGAAGGATGATAGGAAAGAAGGCATAACTGAGAGCCTGAATCCAATCGAAAGACTGTCAGGTTCCATCCAGCTGTTCCTGGTCACCTCCCGTGGGACAGGTGCCCTTTGCACCTGTTATTCCCCGGGCTCCATAAAATAAGGCGGCTAGCTTCCATCAGTGGGTTTTGAATTGTAAAACCTTTGGTTCGAATGAAAGCGGTTGCGGAAACCTGACGTGCAGAAGGGTCAGTGTATGAATGAAGGGCGAGGGGCAGTCGCCGCTGTCCAGGGCGCTGTCCAGTGGTGGGGACCGCTGCCTCAGCTCTCCACCAGCCAGAGCGCTCCTAGCGGAATGGGAGTCCATCGCGTGTGTGCATTTGCATGGCAGCACCTCAGTGGAGACCCCAACGGTGGTTTGGTTTGTGACGGAAAAGAATGCCAAGCGTTTTAGGATCCTTTGAGGCCGAGGGTGAAGACGCAGGGCCCAACCGATGGATCTGCAACAGCGAGAGGCACGCGCAGCCGCCGGAGGCTGTTCCCGGAGCCCGATCCTGTGTCTCCACTTCTATTCACTTAAGAGGGGCTCTGCCGGGAGATGGGGTCAGCTGGCCAGTGGCGCCCTCGGGGTCAAGAACAGAAGAGCGCGTTAGTGAGAGGCCTGGCAGAGCGAGCGCGGCTGCAGCCGTGTCTTCTCATAACGATCTCTTAATCTGATTTACACGTCGCTGGGGAGAAGCCCAGGGCTCCTCGGCCTGCCATTCCCGCTGGCATCTGCAGAGCGTGCAGGAAGGGGAGGTAGCGGCCACGAACCAGGGGTTCACTTTAAGGAGGCGGCAGATCCATTTGCGATGTGCTCCCGAGAGCCCGCTTCTCCACGAAAGGAAAGGATTTGTCCCAAATCGTTCCCTCCCACGCTCCATCACCAGTGTGCATGGAAGCACAGCCTCCCGCCCTCACCGGTGTGGCTCAGTGGCTAGAGCATCGGTCTGCGGACTGAAGGGTCATGGGTTCGATTCTGGTCAAGGGCATGTACCTTGGTTGTGGGCACATCCCCAATAGGGGGTGTGCAGGAAGCAGGTGATCAATGTTTCTAACTCTCTCTCCCTCTCCCTTCCTCTCTAAAAAATCAATAAAATATATTAATAATAATAATATAAAAAAAAAGGAACACAGCCTTCCAGGGGGTCCTGGCTTCCGCCTAATTTAACCCAAGTCAGCCCGAGATGGTCTCAAATCCAGGTAGTTTTCCTCGCTGCTGGGAGATGGAGTCTCAGCTGCTGGAGAAAGTGAAGCGTGTGTTGATCCCCAGTAGAATGTAGAGGTCATGGAAGCTGAATGACTACTAAGTCCAATGTGCTCTGATACAACTTTCCTCCCAACCATCCTCGTTCTCATCTGCTTGGCTGATTTAGTCTTTGTTTTTCAATCACAGTTTACATGCAACATTATTCTGTATTAGTTTCAGGTGCGCAGCATAGTGCTTAGACCCGTGGTCGGCAAACTCATTCATTAGTCCACAGAGCCAAATATCAACAGTACAATGATTGAAGTTTCTTTAGAGAGCCAAATTTTTTAAACTTAAACTAAACTCTATAGGTAGGTACATTGTTATTAACGTCATTAGGGTCCTCCTAAGCTGGCCTTTGCTAAAAACTCAAGGGGCCAAAGAGCCCGCAGGTGGCTTGCGAACCTCGGATTGCCGACCACTGGGTTAGACAATCCTGTACTTTACAAAGGGTTCCCCCCAGTTTGTCTGATTTCTTCGTGAAAAGCTTATTTCCTCCTAGATTCAGACGTTTCCTTATAGAAACATGTCTCTGCCTTGAAAGAAGAGGAAAAAGGCAATGGAGAAAAAAGCATTAGCTACAAAAATAGTCACCGGATAGTCTTTTAGGGAAGGGGAGAGAGGAACTATATAGCATGGCTGGGATCCACAGTGAGCGTCCAGGTGCCCGAAGCTTCCCCTTTTAGTCCGTGAGGAACCCGGGCTCTGGGGGGTGTCTGTGTTCCACGGTCTCACGGTTTGAATTGGCCAGACTGCGTGTGAGACCTGGGCTCTTCCCAAGTACATTCCATGGTTTCCCTCCATGGAAGGAGCCAGTGCCTGTAGACTGAGGCGTGTTTGTGATGTCGCTTCCTCCTCCAGGCAAGCAGCTAACGTGTGCCAGCTGGAGGTCCCCTGTGCCCGATCCCTTAGCCGAGGGGCTTTGGAGGCGTCTGGAGTGAGCGAGGCAGCAGATGGGCGGGTACAAAGAGTCATTCAATCCTTCGGTTCACTCATGTAGTTAACGGCTCCATGCTGGAGCCCGGGGGAAAAAGGAAAAATCAGTAACAACGATCCTGCCTTTATTGTCAGTGTTGGCATTTTGCTCGTTATGGGGTGTTTTGCATTCATTTCAATTTTTTCAAAATATTGCATGAAAATTTCTTTAAAAAAATATATATTTTATTGATTTCTTACAGAGAAGAAGGGAGAGGGATAGAGAGCTAGAAACATCGATGAGAGAGAAACGTCAATCAGCCGCCTCCTGTACACCCCCTACCGGGGATGTGCCCACAACCAATGCACATGCCCTTGACCGGAATCGAACCTGGGACCCTTCAGTCCTCAGACCGACGCTCTATCCACGGGCGGTTTCGGCGCATGAAAATATCTTGATGTCCGCGTGTTTTGGCAGCTCCTTTACATTTTGCACCTGTGGCCAGGGCCTCCTTTGCCCCAGCCTGGTCCCTGCCCCAGCACATACTTTGATTGGTGTGCCGGGCAACGAGCTACGTGCTGGAGACACAAGATACACAGGAGCTTTCAGACCAGAAAGAGTCAGTCATGCCTATAGTCACGGCTCCACACGACAAGTATAGGACAGAAAGTGTGATGGGGAAGGAGACTCTGTTGAGCCCAGGTGTCTGGGAGGATGAGGCTTGCGGGCTGCCTGCACTTGGCTGGTGGACACAGGGGTGGGGAAGGAAGTAAGGGGAGTGTCGGGAAATGACAAGTCTCTTCGTCGCCCGGAGCCTCAGTTTTCCTCATCTGTACAATGGAGGGATGGCAGCTCCTACTTCATAAGGTTGTTTGTTGTCAGGGCTAGAGTGAGCTCACTGGGTTAAGGGCCTCGGGTAGATTCTGGCACCTAACTTAATGTCCGTTAGCCTCAAGGGTGATTGTGTGCAGATGTCTTTAAACGATAGTATCTCTGGGTCGCACACACAGTGTGAACTTTGCTTTGCAGACATCCACGACAGTGATGGGAGTTCCAGCAGCAGCCATCAGAACCCCAAGAGCACAGCCAAGTGGGCGGCCTCTCTGGAGAATCTGCTCGAAGACCCGGAAGGCGTGAAAAAATTTCGGGTTTGCCTTTTTTTTTCATTGAGCTTTAGATGGGAGTGTAGGGAGGCACAGGCCCAGTTTTTAACACTGTCCCAACTCAAGAATAAGAACTTCTCAGCTGTCAATGCCAAGACGGGAAGTCATGGACCAGCAGCGAAGGCCATGCACAGAGCGTGTCTGGGTTTTTCATATAGCTGAGTGGGAGGGGTTGGGTCAATGGGGAAGACATACCATGTTCATTGATAGGATCTATTGATACAAAGAATGCCCAGCTCGGTGATGCCTGGGAGGGGAGGGGGGCATCTCTCTGAGCAGAAGTGTTGTTCTTTTGTGTGTTGGGGCTATTAACAAGGCGAGACAGGCAAGACAACAGCTGGCCAAGTGAAGTTGAACTTCAAGAGGAAGCTGATGGATGGAGAAGCGTCAGAGCTGCCTAGAAATAACTTTTTTTGGCCAGCAGTAACCCACGTGTCAGAAGGAGATGGTGTGAATTTGAAAAGTTCCCTGTGTCTGCCCGAGTTCCACCGAAGTGTGTCCTTAAGTCTGGGGTCTTAGGAGGGGGGAGGCAGGCAGGACTACCAATATTCCTGGACACCAGGCCACTGTGAACTTTGGTCTAGATCTCACGGAGGACACTTTTCTGTGTCACTAATCCCTAATGTCTGCCAGAAGAGAAATATACACACCTCCAACTTAAAATAGTTTTCACCATGACATTTTTTTTGGACATGCTTAATATATTTTCTTTTGTTTTGTTTAAAAAATGGGCCTGATTTTAGAGGAATGTACTTTGTTTAAACATTGTCTGGAAGGAACCAATATATCTTCCGCTTCAATTTACTTTCTGGTAATTTACTGTTAGCTTAGACTTGTGGAGAGAGAGCCTTGCTTCATTTTCACTCTTCCCTACAATGTCAAAGCCATTCTGTTCAAACGCACTTGGAACTCTAGCTTTTACGTTAAAGAAGAGCTTTGTTTTTCAGGGTGGACTTTTCATGCTCACGTTTTGGATTTTACCCAATCAGTGCTTGAAGGGAAATGTTTGTTTGTTTTTTAAAGTATTATAGAATACTGTTTTATGCATTTTTTTCTCTCTCTATCCATAGGAATTTTTAAAAAAGGAATTCAGTGAAGAAAATGTTTTATTTTGGTTAGCCTGCGAAGATTTTAAGAAAACACAAGATAAGAAGCAGGTATTTCTTACACTTTGTCATTGTGTTCTCCATAATGCTTTTCTCTGCCGTGTATAAACTCACAGCTGCCTTTCCCCATACAGTGTGACACTGCCTAAAGACATCTGATCCATACTGGGTTTGGGGGGAAGATTTAAGCTTCAGATGAGGTATCCTGTGTTGCTCAAATATTCATAAATTGAAAAAGAGGGCGTCGATCCTTGTTTAAATGGAGCTGTGCAAATGGACAAATATTTAAAGTAAAAGTAACGGTTTGTCACTTAGAGCTCATCACTGCGTACGGTTTTTTTCCTCCGTGAATAAGTTATGGGGATGCTCCCCTGCGTTTAGCATGTCGGTGTTTTGTACAGACGTAGTAACGTGACAGGCAGACGGGGCAGTGAGAGCAGGGCGCCTCAGACGGATCGTCAATTATTCACTCCGTCTTCATGAAACATCCTGTAGTTGGCAGGCATCCCACATGAAACGTGTCTGGCTGACCTCCTGGGGAGACATGTGCACTTTGCAGGCCACAGCCTTTCATTCTAATGTCAGCCAGCGTGTTTACCAGGGAAGGTTGGGTTAGTAGGGGTGTCGAACTCAATCAGAGAAAGGGCCAAAATCTAAAATCCAGCCTAAATCGCGGGCCGAATGGTTTACTGAACAGTCATAAACTGTCATTGTGATGGAAACGCAGTGGAGTGCAGTGATGACAGCGCGGTGCGGGCCACATTGCAAGGCCTGGCGGGACGGATTTGGCCCTCGGGCCTTGTGTTTGACACATGTGGGTTAAGGGGAGGTGGAGGGGATTGTGGGGAAGGAGGTCTGTGGAGTGGGGGTGTTGACCAAGCCTGTGACTGTGAATTTCTTTTTTTTCTTTTTCTTTTTGACTGTGCGATTCTAAGAGGCTATCAGCTAAGTGCTTCCAGGGTCCAGAAAGTAATGTCTGTGAGTGAGGCTTTCTGTGTGAGGCTGTAGGGAGTGGTGGGACGGGGCCGTCAGGGGGCAGCTGGCTCCTGGGCTTTCCCTGCTTCCAGTTCTGCCCATGTGGGTCTTCACGTGCCCACCCTTGCTCCCCGAAACCCGAGGGACCTTCCTTCCTAAGGCCTTTCTCTCGTCTTCAGCCCAGGGCTGCCTCTCTCTCCAGAGAAGCTAAACATTTGGAATTTGATGTGAACCAGCTGATATTGCAGAATTAAAAAAAAAAAAAAATAGTGAGACCGTGCCTGCCAAGCACAGCACATCCGTGGGCAGATGTGGCCTGTGGGCTGCCAGCTACTCACATCTGTCTCCAAACGCTGGGCTCCAGCAGCCGTCACGTGTGTGCAGGCCACAGCCTGGAAAACGTCCATTGGCTTATTCCAAGGCTCTTCTGGACTCAGACACGCTTTCCCCAGGATGGAGCGGGTGGCCTTCCTCTCTGCAGGGGCAAGGACGGAGTGCCCTTGGCCCCCGGGACAGGGCCCCGGGACAACCTTCCGTAAGTGCTGGATGGTGCCGCTGGTTTGCCCAGCATCACCTGAAACCCCAGCTCAGAGTCAAGCGGGGGAGCAGATGCCCACCCTTTGCCTGCTCTTTCTGTGCTGGAGGGGAGAGGGGCCTGGAGGTTGGCCAGCCCACCCATCACTGGACACACCGAGAAGCTAGGTTTCCCGAGGGCCCCCCGCCATTTCCCCTGCAGAACATGCTGGTGTGTCCCTCAGTTCGGCTGAGCTCAGCGATCTTCGCGGAGTGCCTGCTCAGGGCCAGGGACACGCGGGCACCAGACAGATGAGCTTCCCGGGGAACAGGCGCGGGGAAGGGCAGCCGCTGGCTGAGCCTCTGCCAGGGCGGCTGGAGAGGGAAGTGAGGGTTCGGGGAGCACAGGCCACGGGCCGCCGGAAAGCCCCCAGGGGAAGTGGCTTTTCAGCCACCAGACATGGCAGTGGAGTTTGGGGGTGGGGCCGTGCTCCTGGAGGAGGGGGCAGCATGAGGAGAGGAACTCCTGGAGCGGAGAGAGAAGGTAGACCAGATGGCTGAGGGCCATGCTCTGCTGAGCTCTTCAGCCTGGCTCTGCCGCTCTGGAGGCTGGTGGGCCGGCAGGGCCACACCTGCAGAACCTGGGCCCCCGGGAAAGCCATGTGGTAGGCTGCATTAGCCCACCCGCATCCCACAGACAGAGCTTCCAGAATCCGGCAGCCCCTCGCTGCCCCCCTGCTTCACCCCCCAGACTATGACCCCTGGAAGGTTCGTGTCCTTCCGCCTGGAATGTGCCTGGCGGTGGCTCCGGTGCAGGGCCTGCTGCCTCGCTGTCCGTCGGGGCCTGAGGAGGCTGGGGTCCGGGAGGGGGCGCCCCAGGCGCCCACACCTGCCTGCAGGAGCCTCAGGGCGGCGCCCATCCTGCCGGGGCTGTGGCTGAAGATGATGGCAGCTTGCCCAGGCGGCCGTGCGGGGACAGAGCCAGGATGCAGGCCAGCCTCCGTCCCGGGGCCTGGGAAGTGCTGGTGGGGCTGGCCGCAGGGGAAGTAAAACCTCCAGTAAGCTGGGAGTCACTCATTTAGAAACGCGGAGGAGGCCACCAGCGCGGGGAGGAGTCGGCTCAGCTGAGTTTCACAACCAGACTCACGGCATCTGTGGTTCGGCGAGGGTTCATCTCACCGTGCACGAAGGCAGCTGCGGGATCAGGGCACCTCACTGTTGCCTCCCATGCAGGCGTCTTCAAACTACGGCCCTCGGCCCTCGGGCCACATGCGGCCCGCAGAGGAGTCTGATCCGGCCCGCCAGGTTTTTTGGGCAGTGAGCGCAGCCGAGGTGTTACAGTAGGAATTAGTAGTTCATATAGTCTGGCCCTCCAGCTCTCTGAGGGACCGTGATCTGGCCCCCACTTTAAAAAGTTTGAGGACCCCTGGGACCCGTACTGGTTTGTTGTTCGTTCTCTTAGCTGGTTTATCCAGGGGCTCTCTCCTGAACACTTACTGATTTATCTGGTTGTATAATTCCTTTGTAAAAAAAAAAAAAAAAAAAAAAAAAAAAAAAATATATATATATATATATATATATATATATATTATTGATTTTTTTTTTTTACAGAGAGGAAGGGAGAGGGATAGAGAGTTAGAAACATCGATGAGAGAGACACATCAATCGGCTGCCTCCTGCACTCCCCGCTCCTGGGGATGTGCCCGCAACCAAAACACGTGCCCTGGACCGGAATCAAACCTGGGGCCCTTGAATCCGCAGGCCGACGCTCTATCCACTGAACCAAACCAGTTAGGGCTCTTGTATAATTTCTTTATTCATCTTCTGATGGTTGGCTTTCCCTGCTGCCATGCAGGCTCCGTAGGGTTTAAGATCTTGGCCTGCCTTCTCCCCCAGTGTGTCCACGTGGGTGCCTGAGCCAGTGCCAGGCACACGGGACTCCCAGCTCCTTCCACTCACGTCAGACGGCACCTGGGCACCCACCTGGCTGGGGAGCTAGCCTCCCTCCCTCTCACTCTGAGCTGCTCTTGGACTTGAGGGTTGAACGTGAGTCCATCCTGCTGAGGCTCGTACGCTCAGAGGCTCCAAACAGTGGGAGCTGTGTCTCCACCGTCCTCCCAGGCCTGTGATCCGCCCCGGAACAGGCAGGAAGCAGCCCCTTGGTTTGGGCGGTCTTGATCTCTGCCTTTATGGTGGGGGTGCTGGGGCTGTGAGGGTGATGCCCTTTACCCCACCCCCGCCTTGGGGCCCCTGGGGTGGTATCCCTCCTAGGTGTTCAGCCAGCAGCATGCAACACAGCTCCCTCCCTGTGCCCTTTCTCTGCGGTTTAACATTTTTCTGTCCAGCGCCTCTTCCCTGGGAATTAGCATGTGAGCTGCATCTATCTGCTACAACAAGGCAGCATTTATATTTTCAAAACCTCAGAAGGAAACTCCCAACAAGGTGTTCATTCTTCGGCTACTCCTGAATTCATTCATTCATTCATTCATTCACTCACTCACTCATTCCTCAGCATGCGTCTTCATTGCTGTTAGGAATCAGCATTTCTATGGGAGCGAATTTGTTTTCTTTGGGCCAGTGTAGAAGAGGGAAATGGATGTGGCAGCCTGTACAGATTTGTAAAAACCAAACTGAGAGTGGGGGAGGAGGGGGACAACGTGGTGGGGTGGGACAAGGTTTCTCCTGATCAGAGCTCTGAGAGCGGCCTGCACTGGCACGGAATATGCTATCTTTATTTATTGTAAGACATCGTCAGGAACAATTAGGTTGTTCATTCCTCTCTGCCCTCTTCGCTGGTTTCCTGGACAGAGTTCACCTGATCCCGGACACTCCCTCTGTCTTGCAAGTGTTGGGCTTTCTCTCTCGGCTGGCTTATGCTTTGACGTCTTGAGAACAATTATCCACTTCAGGCGAACAAGCACTCCGACACCAGCCGACGTCCGTCACACGGCTGGAGCCGGCCGCCATTGATGATATCCTTTAGGGTTAACAGAGTTAGGGGCGGGTCCATCATATTTATTGTTTTCATTGTAGCTTACTTAACACTAAAACTGGATCCTGGATTTTGGAGTGCTTGATATTCCTTTTTTTTTTTTTTTTTAAATAATATATTTTATTGATTGTTTACAGAGAGGAAGGGAGAGGGATAGAAAGTTAGAAACATCAATGAGAGAGAAACATCAATCGGCTGCCTTTTGCACACCCCCTACTGGGGATGTGCCCACAACCAAGGTATATGCCCTGGGACCCTTGAGTTCTCAGTCCAACGCTCTATCCACTGAGCCAAACCGGTTTCGGCATTGATATTCTTATTTAAAGTAACGGTAAAGGTATTTGAAATAAAAGAAATAAAATAATAAGAAATAAAAGCATTTGAAAATTCCCAAAGTGACCTGTGCAGCCTCAGGTGAAATCCGCTCGTTGGAAGGGCCAGCGCTCGCTCTCCCTCCGGTTCGGGCTGGCTCTCTCCAGCCTCTTTCTTCCCACGCGGACTCGGCCGGGTCCGGGCGGGACTGACCGGGCCCAGCGGCTCCTTTCCTTCCCCGCTCGCCTTTCATTCTCAGATGGTATCTGCCACTTCCTCTTCCTATCGCCGAGGTTCCATCACTCACATCCTGTCTACTGCGTGTTCATTATGGACATATTTACTGTCGGTTGTTTGCTGCTGAGCCCAAGAGGACGCTACAGTGAACATTTTTCTTCTTTGCACCATTTCCCGCCGTTTCTTCTTTTCAGAGTCCTTTAAAATGCTTCTCGATGCGATAAAATGCAGGGGCTCAGGCCTCTTCGCTCATCGCTCCGGCCCGGGTTCACCTGGGGACAGTCCCCCGGGCCTCGGACCTCAGCTCCCGGGTCTTCCCCGGCCACCGCTGGCCGTGCCCTCTGTCCTGAGGACAGCCATCGCCTCCCGAGGAAGGGGTCCCGGCAGGCGGACCTGGAAAGATCTTGCTGAATGAGAACGTGACCCCCCTCCCGCCGGCTCTCCCGCTTCATTAATAACCCGGACCGAGTGCGGATCGGAATGAAGTCCGGGCTGAAACGCATTCGTTGTTCCGTTGTCTTCACTGCTGTTGAGCATCAGGCTTTCAGTTGGAAGCTGACTTGTTTTCTTTGTGTTTTTTTTTTTCTCCCCGAAATATATAGCACAGGCTCTTCTTTTCGCCACGGGCGTCCTAGAGCTGTGTGCCGAGTGAGGCATCGGGAGGGGTGGGCTCGTCCCCTGTGTCGGCGTTTTACCGGAACATTTCATCCGGACACGATGGCTCTGGACAGTGTTCCTAGGTTATTGTCTTTATTTTTTCATCTCTTTGGCTTTTGGTGCCTACATTTCTCTGGGGGTTCCCACTTTATCTTCAAATCCTTCTGTGGAGATTTTTCACGCATTTTTGTTTATTTTCTCTAGACCCTCCGGTCTCTTCCTGGAGGCCACAAGCCCGAGGTTATGTTTCTGAAGGAAACACACCTCCCATCAGCTGGGCTGGGAGGCGGTTGCTAGGGGGTTTGCATGCGGGATTTCACTCCACCCCTCAGTCCACCTGTCCGTCCATGGGCTTCTCCTCGCCCTCCTGCATGCTCTGGTCAGTTCCTTAGGGAAGACAACTCCAGGTGGGGGGAGGGAGGAGGGGAGAGGGAGGGAGATGATGACGGGGTGCTCAGAGTTGCGGGTCGGCCTGGGGGTCTAACAGCCTCTTCCTGCTGCTGTCCTCTTCATCCCTCCGCCTGGGTCACCCGCTGCCCGCGTTTGGACGGTTCTTGCTGGCTCTATCCTCCCCCCCGGGGCGCCCCCCACCCCCACCCCAGGTGCTGAGGTCTGTTCTCTCTGCAGGGGAGCCGTTCTGCCCCTCCACCCCTCCATGCTCTCCATTTCCCAAGCCGGTTTCCGGAAAGACTCTCCAGTCTCTTACTTGCTATTTCCTTGCCTCACTCTCTGTCTGAAGTCGATATTAATGAGGGCAGCGGCTTGCTCCTTTAGTGTTCTGACGTGGCCTCTCCCGTTGGAACAGCCGGTGAGAGAGGCAGGAAGTGGCAGTCAGGAGGGAGATGTAGGGGATCTGGGTCCCCAGCTTCCTGGAGGAGCGGCTGCAGGGTCCCCTGGCGGGGGGGACCACCCTGTGATTGATGTCACGGTGTCTGTGGACATCTAAGGCCGCCTTTCTAGAGATCAGCTGGCAGCTTAGGTGAGGGCGGGGCTCAGATCTCAGGGGAGCACGTGGTTAGGAAAGCAGCTGGCCTAGGGCAGAAGTCTGGGGAACCCAGAATTTATGGGGGGCGTGGAGGGGGGTGAGGGACAGAGGGGTGTTGGAGAATCCTGAGAGGGCCTGGGCGCGGGGCCAGGGCCTGGGGACAGAGGGACTTGGCTCCGTGGCCCTCTGTGAGCCGGTGGGAGGGAGGCGGTGGGGGGCGGTGGGAGCCTGTGGGAGCCGGTGGGAGCCAGTGGGAGCCTGTGGGAGGCGGTGGGAGTGCGGCCGTGCACCCTTAGCCGTTGTGATGCTCCCATAGAAAGCTGGGGGCTGGAGGCCATTAGCTACAGGAGGGTGTGAGTGAAAGGAGGGGTTTTATTTTCCCGGTGGGACACATTTCGGCTGCTTCCTGGGTGAGGGCGAGGAACCAGACACACAAAGCCATGCTCTTCGGGGTGTGGGGGGTTGCGGGGGGCTGTGCCTTGGCGCTCCTGGGGGAGGGGACTGCTCTGCTGATGGAGGGAACTCGCTTCTCCTGCGTGTGCGGTGTGCTCTGTGCTGTGGGGGCAGAAGCTGCCTGGCACCTGGGCACCCGGCACCCGGGCTGATGCCGGCGGGAGGAGCCCAGGCTCACGGGGAGTCTGGAGGAGCTCCCCTGGGTGCGAAGCCCCCACAGGCGGTCCTCAGGCCGGGAGTCCTGGCGTGGCCCCGCAGGGTCCTTTTCCAGCCCCTTCTGGGGCAGTGGGTGCCCCCACAGAAGCCAGAGGGGGCTGGCAGACTGGGGCCCCCGGAACGTCCTGGAGCGCAGGGTCCTCTCGGGGCGCTGCGGGGGACGGGCCCCGTGACTGGCCTGCGGTCTCCGCGTCAGGGTTTCCCTTCCCGGTCACGCTTCCTCCCGGCCATAAGCTCAGCTGACGTGTGTGAGGCCGGGGACCCACAGACACGGGGAGGGCAGCTGGGGGTGTGCAGGGGGTGAGCGCAGGTCCCCCTGAGCCTGCTTCCTCCTCCCCTCCCAGCCCCCCACACCCCTCCTTTCCGCCTCCAGCTACCCATCACCCCACGTGTTTTCAGAGCCACCCAGTCAGCCTGGCTCCTCTGGAAGCGTGTGTGTGTGTGTGTGTGTGTGTGTGTGTGTGTGTGTGAGTGTGTGTGTGTATGAGTGAGTGTGTGTGTGAGAGAGGGTGTGTGTGTGTGTATGTATGTGTGTCTCTCTGTGTGTATATATGTGGTGTGAGTGTGTATGTATATGTGTGTGTGTGTGTGTGTGTGTGTGTGTATGAGTGAGTGTGTGTGAGAGGGTGTGTGTGTGTGTATGTATGTGTGTCTCTCTGTGTGTATATATGTGGTGTGAGTGTGTATGTATATGTGTGTGTGTGTGTGTGTGAGTGTGTGTGTGTATGAGTGAGTGTGTGTGAGAGGGTGTGTGTGTGTGTATGTATGTGTGTCTCTCTGTGTGTATATATGTGGTGTGAGTGTGTATGTATATGTGTGTGTGTGTGTGTGTGTGAGTGTGTGTGTGTATGAGTGAGTGTGTGTGAGAGGGTGTGTGTGTGTGTATGTATGTGTGTCTCTCTGTGTGTATATATGTGTGTGCATGTGTGTGTGTGTGTGTGTGAGTGTGTGTGTGTATGAGTGAGTGTGTGTGAGAGGGTGTGTGTGTGTGTATGTATGTGTGTCTCTCTGTGTGTATATATGTGGTGTGAGTGTGTATGTATATGTGTGTGTGTGTGTGTGTGAGTGTGTGTGAGGGGGGGGCGGGGCTGTTCGAGGGGGAGGGGGCTGAAGTGGGCTGTTTCTCGGACTGGCTGGCACTTTCAGGAAGTGGGAAACAGCAGCGTTTCCCCAAAACTCTCCTTCCTGGGAGAAGCGGGGCTGAGGGAGGCTGGCGGAGGGAGGGAGGCTGGGGGCTTCATGGTGGGGGTGTGTCTTTGAGAGGCAAACAGCCCCAAGGTGCTGCCCGGCCCGGATCTGGATCTGGATCGTGGGCCCGACGTGTCCGCTGGCCCAGCCACACGGATCTGGGGCTGCCTCAGCCTTGGGGCTGTGTCTGTGGATCCGCGTGTTCCGGGCGCTTCAGGTGAAGGGGATCACACCTTTGTGCCTTCCGTGTCCGGTTCTTCCGTCAGCATCATGTTTCACCGTCACCTGCGCTGGCCGGTGCCAGGGCTTCCTTCCTTGTTGGGCCTGCACAAGGTTCCCAGAGTCCTTTATTTTCTCTCTCCTCTCTTTTAATTAAGTTGATGGGGGTGACATTGGTTAATATGACCATTGGGTGTCAGGGTGGGTTTCTGTGCTCCCAGATCTGTAGATCGCACTGTGTGCCCTCCATCCCAGGCCAGACCGTCCCCGTCACCCTGTCTCCGGTCCCCCTTCCCCCATCCCCTTCCTCCCCGGCCTGGACTCCTTCATCTGGGGAGTTCACAGGCCTCTCTGAACGGCACCAATGGCACCCTGGGGGCCGGATGCGTCCCCACACCCTTTCCCGGTGGGTGTGGAGCTGTGCCGTGACAGGAGATGGAGCCGCGGGCAGAGCCCCAGTCCAGCCAGAGGGAGGAGCGGGCTCAGGCGGGAGGAGGAGGGAGAGCGGGCTCAGGCCGGAGGAGGAGGGAGAGCGGGCTCAGGCGGGAGGAGGGAGAGCGGGCTCAGGCGGGAGGAGGAGGGAGAGCGGGCTCAGGCCGGAGGAGGAGGGAGAGCGGGCTCAGCCGGAGGAGGAGGGAGAGCGGGCTCAGGGAGGAGGAGGGAGAGCGGGCTCAGGCCGGAGGAGGAGGGAGAGCGGGCTCAGGGAGGAGGGAGAGCGGGCTCAGGCTGGAGGAGGGAGAGGGGGCTCTGCCGGAGGGTGAGCTCACCGGGAACAGCTGTGTGTGTCGCCCGCAGATGCAGGAAAAGGCCAAGGAGATCTACTCGACCTTCCTGTCCAGCAAGGCCTCGTCGCAAGTCAACGTGGAGGGGCAGTCCCGGCTCAACGAGAAGATCCTGGAGGAGCCGCATCCCCTCATGTTCCAGAAGCTCCAGGACCAGGTAACCTGACCTCCCGGCCGGCGCTGGGTCCCCCGAGCCGGGCACAGGGAGGGGGGAGCCGTGCTGGCAAAGCAGAGGCCTGGAGAGCCAGGCTCCAGGTTTACCCCCCAGGCGGCTCCCCCACACCAGAGTGCTCCCGGCCTGCACATGCATGCTCCCGATCCGCACACAGCGTGCTCCCAGCCTGCACATGCATGCTCCCGATCCGCACACAGCGTGCTCCCGGCCTGCACATGCATGCTCCCGATCCGCACACAGCGTGCTCCCGGCCTGCACATGCATGCTCCCGATCCGCACACAGCGTGCTCTCTGTCTGCACACGGCGTGTTCCCAGTCTGCACACGGCGTGCTCTCTGCCTGCACACGGCATGCTCTCTGCACACGCGTGCTCCCGGCCTGCACACGGTGTGCTCTCTGTCTGCACACTGCGTGCTCTCTGCCTGCACACGCGTGCTCCCGGCCTGCACACGGCGTGCTCTCTGCACATGGCGTGCTCCCGGTCTGCACACGGCGTGCTCCCGGCCTGCACATGCATGTTCCCAGCCCGCACACGGCGTGCTCTCTGTCTGCACACGGCATACTCCCAGCCCGCCCACCGTGTGCTCCCGGCCCGCACATGGCGTGCTCCCGGCCGTGAGGAGCAGGCTGAACATTCTAGAAAGCGAGCACAAAGACTCAAAGTGCCCGGGAACCTGGGGCGGTTTTTGGGTGCAAATGCCCAAACACCATCGCCTGCGTCTGGTGGCCCAATACCGAGAGCTCGTTCCTGCGAGGCCCCTGCGTTAAAATGAAGCGTTACCATCAGGCAGCACGTAATGCAGGAACAATCAGGTTTAAAGGGACCTAGCGGGGTGAGTTGGTTTTCTGGAAAATTCTCCTGTGAGGAATGGCCATGGTCGCGGGCAGAGGGGGAAGGGGCACCGGGGGTTCTCACAGACACGGCTGGCAGGGGGCGCTGTCCACAGCGCGCCCCGTTCTTGTGAAACGTCACACACACCTGTCGTCAGGGGGCACAGGTTTCTGACTCCTCCCGGCCCTGTGCTTGCTGAGGACGTGAGGGCCTCACGTGGCACACAGGTGGCGGCTGTTTCAGCTCCACTCAGCGTCCTCCGTCTGCGCACCCAGAGGCCCCGGGAGGGCTGCTTAAAGCAGACGCCGGGCCCCATCGCTCCCGGGATCTGTTTCAATGCGATGCTCCCAGGCGGGAGGAGACGCTGCCCTCCCGGCAAGGTCCCGGGGATGCGGTGCTGCCCGCCCGGGACTGCACTCTGAGGACCGCCGGTCCAGCCCGCGGGCTGGCACAGAGCCGTATCGTGCACGCCCAGATCCCTCCGATCGGAAACACACGCTAACAGGGAGGCAGCTGCAGAGTGTTTCCACCTGACACAGGGGCACGTCCAACCCCTCTGGGGTCTGAATCAGACGTGGGTGCTGAAGGGACCCCGTGCGCCGGGAGACGTGCTGAGGGCCTCCTGGCGGAGGCGATGTTGAGTCAGTGGAAAGGACGCCAGGCAGACGGGCTTGTGGAGGAAAGGAAGTGGCACGTATGACCCGCAGGCAAGTCTCTGTGGCCCTGGCCGCACGAAGATGTCTGCCCCACCCGGACCTCCGTCTTTTCACGGTTTCCTACTGCATTTCCACAAATCACAACATGTGCCTTCCGATACTGTGCCCGGTGCCACTGGGCGTGCTGCACCCACGGCATCGCCAGGGAGTACGGCTCCGTGTGACGGAGGCAGCAGGGTTCAGGGATGCCAAATCCATGGCACAAAGTCACACCTGCTTCCCAGTCAGGGGCAGCCTGTGGCCGCTGCTCACAGCCCAGGAGGCCAGTGGAGCAGAGGCCTGGGAAGGCCGTGTCGGGACAGGCCCCCTTCCTGGCTGCGGACCCCCAGGCAGGAACAGGGAGTGAGACGGGCTGATGCCCCTCTATGCAGTGGGAACTCCGCTCTGGGGGGCCCAGCCACACCCACTAGAGGCAGACGTGGGGAGCTTTGCTGGCTCAGAAAGGAGGAGCACAAGGGACAGAGGAAGATCTAAGTGACAAGAGAAAAATATTTAAAAAATAACTTTTATCTACCCAACTATAAAAGTCACACGTGCTCCACAGCCACAACAAAGAATCATCCTTCCAAACCTGGACAGGACCCTAACGAGCATCGGATCGCTAGACTTCCGTCCTTCTTCCTACAAAAGCATGCAATGCACACGTATCACAAATGCCGCACGACTCTTTTAGTTCCAACCGTCCCATGTAATAAAGGCACAGGTGGCACAACACCCTTGCGTGACGCCATCACAAGATGGCCGCCACAAGATGGCCATGCGCTCAGCGGAGGTGGGGCCCGGCAGCCGCTCTGCACAGTGAGACCTGGGAGTCCCATGGCTCTGTGCAGCTCGGCAGAGTCCGGTCCTGGCAGAGGAGTCGGGTCTCGGCAGGGGAGGGCAGCTGTGATTTTTAGGGAGAGTGAAAGCGAGAGGGAAAGACAGAGAGAAACACATCCATTTGCTGCCTCCTGCACGAGCCCTGACCAAGGCCCAAGCCAGGGAGGAGCCTGCAACCAAGGTACCTGCCCCTTGACCAGAATCGAACCCGGGACCCTTTGGTCCGCAGACCGACGCTCTATCCACTGAGCCAAACTGGCTAGGGCCGTTCAGCCATTTTTAACACAAAAACCGAACTCAGTTCTTGCAGCAGATACGAAGCCCCATTAGTAAAACGTGCACGTACAGATGGACTTTCCCCGCCCTGTACCCCGTGCCCTTGCCGGGGAGAGCGGCAGGGGATTTATTGGGCTGGAAAACTCTTCACTGGGACTGCGCGAAAGTCTTCCCCGAGGGGCCTTCAGGCTGGGAAAGCTCGCTCTGCTTGGACGCCGAGGGTTCAGGGAGGGAGTCCCTGTCTGCAGCGGCAGACCCGGGGCATCTCACGTTGGGGCGCCCACGGAGGGAAAGACAGATGCCAGCCAGTCCCCGCTGGGAGGGGCCCGGGGAGGGAGGGCGCACGGCCGGCAATGACCCCGAGCTGTGGGGCCTTGTGGGCCCCCACCCCCACCCCCGGCAGGATCGCCTCCCCCGGCAACCATGCCAGACAGCTCCCAGTCCGGGCACGCAGCTCCCAGACGTGGGGCTGCCAGAACCGAAACCTGCTGAGCCACAGCCGTCTCGGGGGGGGAAAAGGAGAAAGAGGCTCGGAATGCCATTCAGCTGCCAGCGTGCGTTTTCTGCCTCCCCGGCTGCCTGTGCCCGGCAGGCGGACCGCGCCCTCGCTCTGCCGCCCGCCCCGCCCGCCTCACGCCTGTCCCAGGTGTGGTGCCACGTTTTCTCTGCCCCACAGACTGCCTGGCGCGCGTCGGTCAGGTGCTGGTCCCTGCCCAGGCCCACGGAGGCCCGTTCTCCCTATCAGAGCGTCCTGGTTTTACAGAACCTTCTAGAAGCCTGAGGGCGGCCTTGTTTTCTGTGCTCACTCAGGAGGGAGGGGAAATCAGTAATTCAGGTTCCAAGGGCTGTCATAACAAATTGTCACAACCTGAGTTGCTTAAAGCAGAAACTTACTCTCACAGCTCATGAGGCCGGAAGGACGAAATCAAGTTGTCAGGAGGTCTGCACTCTTTCAGAAGGCTCTAGGGAAAACTCCTTAAAAACTAAAAACTAAAAAAAAAATATATATATATATACTGTGTATATATATATATATATATATATATATATATATATATATATTTATATTTATTTATTTATTTATTTTAAATAAAATATAAACATATATGTTTTAAAAACACACATATATATGTTTTTATGTTTTTATTTTTTTATTTTTATTTTTTTATTTTTTAAAATATATATTTTATTGATTTTGTACAGAGAGGAAGGGAGAGAGATAGAGAGTTAGAAACATCGATGAGAGGGAGTCATCGATCAGCTGCTTCCTGCACACCCCCTTCCGGGGATATGCCCGCAACCAAGGTATATGCCCTTGACCGGAATCGAACCCGGGACCCTACAGTCCCCAAGCCGACGCTCTATCCATTGAGCCAACCTGGTCTCGGCTGTTTTTATTTTTTAAAAATATATCTTTATTGATTTCAGATAGGAAGGGAGAGGGAGAGAGAGAGAAACATCAATGATGAGAGTCATTGATTGACCGGCTGCCTCCTGCACGCCCCCCATGGAGGACTGAGCCCACAACCTGGGCATGGGCCCTGAGTGGGAATGGAACCACGCCCCCTCCCCCCCACCCCGTTCATATGTTGAAGCCCTAAGCCCAGGCACCTCAGCAGGTGCCTGTGTGTGGAGCGAGGGTCTAACGAGGAGGTTATTCAAGGTTGAACGAGGTCACTGGGGGTGGGCTCCAACCCGTGCAGCTGGTCACCCGGGGCCCTTACGAGTAGAGGCGATGGGGACAGACACAGCGAGGAGAGGCCCTGTGCACACATGGGGGGTGGGGTGCCTCACAGCCGCCTACAAGCCGGAGAGAGAGGACTCAGAGGGACCCACCCGGCCCACTCCTTGACCTTGGACTTCCAGCCTCCAGACTGGGAGCAGAGACATCCCTGTAGTTTAACAGCCACCCCCGCCCCCCACCCCTCCTCTGTCTGTGGGACTTGTTAGGGCCGCCCAAGCAGACGAATACGCCAGCCACTGGGCAAAGCATCCAGCCGCTCAGGCCCGGTTGCTTTCCCCGTGCGACCGGGCTTCTCCCGGGGTTTGGTGAGGTCACATGGGCACCAGCTCTGCCTGGTGCCGGCTGGAAGGCGCTCGGTGCACCCGCACTGCCCGAGTCACTTGGCCGGCTGGGTGCGTGCTGGACGGGTCTGCTCATTCGCCGGGGGGACAGTTAGCGGGCCGCGCTCACGCCACCTGCCCCGGGGTCAGGGCTGTGGGCCGCAGGTGGTTACACCTTCTTGGGAGAGACTTTTGGTGCGTTCTCTCCTCTGAGCCGTCTTCGCTCAGCTCCACCCTCCATGGACCGTGTGATCGGAGTGCCCTAGGGCCCTGTGGTCCGAGGCCGGTGCCAGGGAAGGCCCTGTGCAGAGATGCCAGGCAGCTCATGGCCTCAGAAAATGGCCATGGGGGCGGCGTCTCCTCTTTCACATCCGTCCGGCCTCCCGGCTGCAGCTGCCCCAGCGACCTCAGCGCCTGGAGGAGGCCAGGGTCCTGGAGAGGAGGCCCCAGCCCGTGGGACTTCTCGGGCCCTTGTGCCTTTGTTACCGAGCTCCCGGCCCCTGCCCTCGGCTCGCTGAGGGCGCCTGGGCCTCAGGCTCTGCTTGGGGGGGGAAGGCATCTGCCAGCCGCTGAGCAGCCGGAGCACTCCCTCTGCCGATGCCGCCCCCTCGCCCGCCCTCCCGCCTCCGGGCCCGGGCCCGGGGTGCCTCCAGCCCCTGCCTTTCTCCTCTCCTCTTTGAAGTGTGAGCCTCCGAGCCACGACAGGCAAACAGGATGCTCCCCTCCCACACGCACAGACTTCAGACGGACGCTGGTCGGAACCGCATCCTGCAGGCAGTGGGGGTCCCATCTGCCCTGACCTGGTGGGGTGGGGGGGGCGCAGGGCTGGGTGCGGGGGACGGGTCTCGGGGGGCTGGCTGCCTTAGTCACTCTCCGAGCACCGGTTCAGACTTGGAGCTAGGTGCTTCTCAGAGTTCCCGTGGGGCTCTCAGGCCTGCAGGGCTGGGCCAGGCAGGGGGTCGGGGTGGTAATGTCGGCTTGGCATGTCCGGGGAGGCCATGAGTGATGACTCCTCACCCCCTGTCTTACCCCTGGTGTGATTTTAGTATTTTCTGGGAGTTATTATTTTAATTATATTTTTATTGATTTCAGAGAGGAAGGGAGAGGGAGAGAGAGCTAGAAAGAAACATCAATAATGAGAAAGAATCATTGATTGGCTGCCTCCCGCATGCCCCCCACTGGGGATCGAGCCCACAACCCGGGCACACCCGAGAATCCCGTCGCTGCCCGGGACCTGCTCCCGGGCCCGCGAGGGAGCTTGCCCCGTGCAGCCTCCCGCCGGCCCTTCCGTCCGGCCTGTCCCTGAAGCCTTCCCCCGCCCCTTAGGCTGTGCCCTGGCTCCCGTGCCCGCACTGACTGAGCCTGCGGCTTCCTGGCGGGAGCAGGGGTCTGAGTTCTTAGATGTTGGCATCAGCTGATGGGACAGGGCCCTGCACCCCAGCCCGCCTCTGCGGGAACGGTTCCCGCTCCTCCGTCTGGTTCCTGGGCCATTTTCCCACACGAAGGGCCTCTGGCCACACGGCGTGAATCCGGGCTGGTGCACCTCGACTTCCGTGGAAAACAGAGCGGGGCTTGTTCATGGGACCCCCCCGTCCCGGCGTGAGCGGTGGCTACGTTTAATAAACATTCGCCGGGCGAGCCAGGGCCCGGCCGCCCCAGCCCTCAGCCGCCGCCTCCTCTCTCCACAGATCTTCAACCTCATGAAGTACGACAGCTACAGCCGCTTCCTCAAGTCCGACCTGTTCCTGAAGCACCAGCGGACGGAGGAGGAGGAGGAGGAGGAGCCGCCCGACAGCCAGACGGCAGCCAAGCGCGCGTCGAGAACGTACAACACCTGAGCCGCCGCCCCGCCCCCGCCCCGGCCGCCGGCACGGCCGCTCCCGTGGACGAGGGACCCCCTCGGGACCGTGCAGGGGTGGGGTCGCTTTACTGTCTGCCAGGACCCAGACGTACAAAGCCCGTCGGTGGGATCTGTGTATTCTATTAACGGCCTGGCCAGTGAGGGTTGCATGATGGCCAGTCTTACGTAGAAAACACACACACACACACACACACACACACACACACACTGCTTTGAAGTTCACAAGCTCATCGTGGTGGGCGGAGTCCTTAGACACTGGACACGGAGCGTTTTGCAGTTTGATTAAACGTCATGCGAGGCCACCAGGCAACACGTGTAGCCACCGCTGACCTTTCAAGTCTGTGCCCTGCCCACAGGTTCCCGGGGTGGCCCTCACAGGCTCAGGCCACGGCGGGGGGCTGGGTGCTGTCTGTTGGGCGCCTTTTGGGTTACATACTTCTCTTGGGCGGCTCTCAGTGCTGGGAAAAGGAGCCCCTTCCTCCCCCCTCCCTCCCCAGCCTCCTGTCAGCTCCTGCAGGTTTGGGAGCTGAGTGTGAGCATCCTCAGAGGGCTTTTCTCTTGGGCCCGGGTGTGTCCTGGTTTCGCCCACAGCCTGTGACATTTCATGCAGCACAGACAAATGGTTCACCCTGACAGAAGACCTCCAGGAAGAAAGACGATGGGAAGTCGCTCCGGGTCCCCAGGGCAATGGGGGTTGGGGGTGGCGTTGAGTGGGGCCCAGGGCACGGCCTGTGCAGGCTCCCCGTCTCCCATGGCCCGTCTGGGACACACCCTGCTCTGCCCGCCCTCTGCGGCACTCCGGGCTGAGTCTCCCCCCAGACAGGAATGCCGTCCACGAAAGGCTCCTTTCGAGGGCAGCCCAGCTGGGCCAGGCTGACCCCACCAGCCCGGTCACCCCCTCCTTAGAGCTGAGCCCACCAGCCTGCTCAGCGCAGGTGCCTCTGCTGACTCTCCTGGCACCTCAGGCCTTCCCCGCAGGTGTGCCCAGCCTCCCACTCCCGCTGGCAGACCTGGCGCTCGTGTACAGACACACGCCCGGTGCTGAGGGTGACCGACCGCTCTCCCGGCAGCCAGGATGCTCTGGAGAGGGAAGGGCGAGTTTACTTATTCCCCGGGGGCGATGGTTCTGTTCTGGGCGAAGCAGTTCGCAGTGACCCGGCTGACAACCCTCCTGCAGGGTGGCCTGTGGGTAAGGTGACCAGACGTCCCGCTTCTGGCAGTACGGTCCCGATTTTCAACAATTTGTCCCACGTCTCGCGGCCTTTTAAAAAAAAAGTCCCCATTTTTGGTTAAAAAAATGGGACTTTTTTTTTTAAAGGACGTGGGACAAATTGTTAACAATCGGGACGTCTGGTCCCCTTGCCCGTGGGACAGTCCCTTGAGTGTCCAGCCCGGGGCAGGATGGCCAGAGCCATTCACTGAGAACTCAGCCACCCACTGAGCGTCCACGGGAGCTGCCCGGGCTGGACCCCCCACAGGGCTTCCCTCCCTCCTCGAACGTCTCAGGCCTCTTCCCCCAGGACCAGAGAGGGACGCTCAGAATGACCCCCAAGGGCCCTGGCATTTGAGAAACTCAGTCCTTCCTGCAGAGTGGACTGATGCGTTTTACTTAAACACCAAACACTGCTTCCTAAGGAACGCTAGCTAAATTTCTTTTTCCACAAACTATTTCTATAGATTTTTTACGGAGAAGAAAGAACAGAGGGAGGGAGATCAATGTTAGATTTTGATCAGCTGCCCCTATGCACGCCGCCTACTGGGGATTGAGTCTGAAGCCCCCACCCCAATATGCCCTGCCCGGGAATCGAACCCAACCTTTCAGAGCCTGGGACAATGCTCCGCCAATTGAGCCATGCCGGCCGGGGCAGACGGATGCATTTTATTATTATTTTTTGAAATCTATATTTTATTGATTTCAGAGAGGGAGAGAGAGAGAAACCCATGATGAGAGAGAATCAGTGATCAGCTGCCTCCTGCACGCCCCTCACTGGGGAAGGAGCCCACAACCCGGGCCTGCGCCCTGACTGGGAATCGAACCCTGACCTCCTGGTTCCTAGGTCGACACTCAACCACTGAGCCACACTGGCTGGGGCCGCTGATGCTTTTGCAGGAATAAAGGCTCTCTAGTTTGACTTTGAGTTCACCGGCCAGGTCGCGCAAAGCGCCGTGCCCCCCCCCCCCCCCCCCCCCGCCACCAGTGTAGACAGAGGGTCATGTCAGGGTCCTTGGAGCTGAGTACCCTGCCTGGAGCTGCCTCTGAGAGTCTGTACCCACAGGGGGTGGGGGGCTGGGGCCTCTTTCTGGCTTCCCCCTCTCCCCAGAGCGGCCAGAACCCCTTGGAGGTGGCGGCGGTCTGGGTGTAGGACACTGAGTTAGGCCGTGGACTGTCCCCAAGAGCAAAGCCTCTCCCTTAGGGGTGGCCTGTAAGGCCCAGGGCCAGAGGATGGGAGCCGCATCCCGTAACCACAGCTGCCTCCTGCCGCCTGAGCTCGGCCACATCCCCGCTGTTCCCCCCCCCCCCCCCCCCGCCTGGCCGCCTCCCATGCCCCGCCAGACCGAGGCCGGCCCAGAGCCCAGCTCCGGAGGCCCCTGCGGACGAGAGAGAGGCTGAAGCGTAGGGGCCCGGTGCAGCAGACGCGTGCTCTTCCAGCTTTCACGCTCCCCGGCCCGTCCGCCCGCCCCTTTGTCGGTTATCCCAGGGGTCGGCAAACTCATTCGCCCACAGAGCCAATAGCAACAGGACAACGGTGGAAATTTCTTTGGAGAGCCACATTTTTTGAACTTAAATTTCTTCTAACGCCACTTCTTCAACATAGACTCGCCCAGGCCGTGGCATTTTGTGGAAGAGCCGCACATGGCTCTCGAACCGCAGTTTGCTGACCACGGGGTTAGGGTAAAGCTGCCAGGTGCCGGGAGTTACGGGCACACACGGCCCTGATGCTCGATGCTCCCAGGCAGCCTGCAGGTGGCTCACATGGAGGTCTTATTGGGGGTCAGGCTCGGGGTGCAGCCTGCAGGTGGCTCACATGGAGGTCTTATTGGGGGTCAGGCTCGGGGTGCAGCCTGCAGGTGGCTCACATGGAGGTCTTATTGGGGGTCAGGCTCGGGGTGCAGCCTGCAGGTGGCTCACATGGAGGTCCTATCGGGGGTCAGGCTCGGGGAGGCCGATGGGCGGGGGGACGGCCATTGGGAAGGGCATTGGTTACAGTTCCCAGAGGAGGGGGCCAGGCCGGGCCACCTGGGGAAGCCCCAGGCCCCCCGGAGGCGGAGGGCGCGGGCGGATGTGGGCAGGAGGCGTTGCTGTGGTTTCCGCAGGAAGGCCCGCCGGCGAGCAGGCTCAGAATCAGCCGGTTTGAATAAATTCTGTGGGCTCTGGGCACAGGGGCTGTCCCTGGCTGGCTGGCACCTGTTCCACGGCCCCGGGTGCCTGGCCCTGGGTGAGAGGGCAGGTAGCACAGGGGGCGAGGGCCTGAGAAGGGAGGGAGCTGGGGAGCCGAGCCCTGCAGTGGCTGCTTTGCTGTGGAAGCTGGGCTCCAGCTGTGGCCCCCCTGGGAGGTGTGGGCCCTCCGTGGTTAGCGAGGCCCAGGGGCCAGGGCATCAGAAGAGGAGACCTGCCTCCTGCCTCCACCTTAGCAGGACCGTCCCAGGGTCTCCACCTCTCCCTGCGGTGAGGCACCTGTGATGGGGCCAGTGGTTTCCCTCTTCAGTGCAGGGGCCTCAGGCAGAGCATGAGTGAACTCGCCAGCGAGCCCCAGGCCCCAGCATTCCCTAATGCCTTGTTCCGGCACCTTTATGTTCTCTGCTAGCTCCCTAGTGTGCATCCTGCGCTTTTTAAAAATATATATATTTTATTGATTTTTTACAGAGAGGAAGGGAGAGGGAGAGAGAGCTAGGAACATCGATGAGAGAGAAACATCGACCAGCTAGGCAGCTGCCAGGCTTTCTAAGTGTAAGTTGTGGTCTGTGTCCTCCCCACAGCCTCCCGGGGATGTGCCCACAACCAAGGCACATGCCCTTGACCGGAACCGAACCTGCGACCTTTCAGTCCGCAGGCCGACGCTCCATCCACTGAGCCAAACCGATTTCGGCACGCCCTGTGCTGCTTTTGCCATGCACAGAGAGCATGGCCTGGTGACATTTTCCTCTGTGACTTTAATTATCCCTCCCAGTCTATTCTGTGACCTGCTTGCTTTCTTTCCTACTCTTTTTTTTTTTTTTTTTTACAGAGAGGAAGGGAGAGGGATAGAGTTGGAAACATTGATGAGAAACATTGATCAGCTGCTTCTTGCATACCCCCTACTGGGGATGTGCTTGCAATCAAGGTACATGCCCTTGACCGGAATCGAACCTGGGACCCTTGAGTCCGCAGGCTGACACTTTATCCACTGAATAAACTGGTCAGGGTTCTTTCTTTTTATTTGTAATGATTTCAGAGAGGAAGGGAGAGGGCGAGAGAGATGGAAACATCAACGATAGAATCATTAACTGCCTCCTGCAGGCCCCCCGCTGGGAATCGAGCCCATAACCTAGGCCTGTGTCCTTGACCAGGGTTGAACCTGGAACCCTTCAGTCCGCAGGCCGACACTCTATCCACTGAGCCAAACCAGCCAGGGCAGCAGCCAGGCTTTCTAAGTGTAAGGTGTGGTCTGCGTCCTCCCCATGGCTCGCACCATCCCTTCCCCTCGGTGGCAGGAAGTGTGGAGGGATCACCTCACCCACACACAGCGCCTTCCAAGTGCCTCGTTCCCATCACCTCACCCCCACACAGACCCCCGAAAGTACGAGGCAGTGATTTTTCCCACTTCAGAGACCCAAAGACCCAAACCAATGACGTGCCTCACACAGACACGTGCTGGTGAGAGGGAGAGCCTGAGGCTGGAACGAGCTGCTGTCCCCCCTCCCTTTTCTGCCCCTTCCTTGTCTGGACAGCCGTCCGCCCCCAAGACCAGGGCTAGGGGAATGGGGAGTGTCTTCTGGTAAAGGTTCTCATTGGCTCACAAAACGTATTTCATGAGAACCTGCTATATCCCAGGCCAAATACTAGAGACAGGACTGTGGGCGATGAAAGGAGGCGGAAACCTTGCCTCCAGGACCCTGAGAGGGGGCGGTGAAGGATTGAGAAAAGACAGACGAGAGAATGAAAGCTGGGTCTGGGTGGGACGCTGCCTCTCTGATGAAGAGCTAGCGCCAGTGCCATGGATTACAAGCCCTGTCTTTATTTTATAGCCGATGCCACGAGGCAAAGTGAGGGCCTGGCCAAGACGTTTACAACGTTCTCCTGGGATCCGATCCTACTCAACTACATGCACCTGATC